AATCACGTATTACCAAAGCGTCCCGTTATCGATGCATATTAATGCCACGGATAATACAATTTGTCTCATGGCCGGACGTTTATTAAATTTATTGTTAATCCGTTAAGAACGGATAATACGTTATCGCATAGTTAATTCCTCCCCCCTCCCCCCAAAACGCCAATTTTGCGCTGGAATAATCCCGCGTAATGAATAATTGATGTCAGAAATGGGGATCGATAGTTTTCGGAATTTCGAAGTAACGCGTGCCTCTTGGCGAGAACCACTTGTCAACGGTATGATGAAAAATTTAAGAGTTATAAGGCGAAAAGTGAGCGAGAAATGAATCTAATTCGTAAGTAAGCTCCCCCACTATGAATTTATCAATGTGTGAATTGATAGGCGAACCAGCGGACATTTCTGATACGGAAAATAGAACGAGGTTATTCTATGTGTAATCAATAGTCTCTCATGTTCTCGAAATTGAAATATGATGTTGGTAGAAAATTAGAGGACGTGTAAATTAGTCGTGAAAGGGAAAAAAACAAAATTTGATAAAGAAAAATATAATATAATAATTTAGAGAAAAATACAAAAATTGTTATGTGCAAAAGAAGATTTAACGAAGCTTATTTTTCGTGTCGTAAACAATTTAATTTTCCACCAGATGAAGCGAAAGAGAGAGAGAGAGAGAGAGAGGATATAGAGTAATCTAATACGAAATTAAATTGGTTATGGCATTAATGAATACTTTTGTGTTTATTTTAATACCTAAAATCATTCTATAAATTTTTTATCTGGTTTGAATATTCATTTCATCGAAAATTCAATATTAAGTGAATAGAAAATTTCGTATAATATAATTATTTTTCAAAGATACATAAAATAATTAGATATATTAAAAAAAAATTTTGATTTAAATAATTTAAAAAAAACATTTTTAAACACAAATTATAAATATATATAATTCCTTTGTCTTCTCACTTTGTTTTCTCACGTGATATTTGAATTTTAAACTTAATTGAGAATTGAAAAAATGAAGAGATATTATTTGAAAGGTGTAAAAATTTCTTTTATTTTTACCTCGAGAGAAATTAAATTGTCAGTTCGATATTAGATCGAAATTTTATAGAGGATAATTCTTGGTCATTTCTTATGGCTGCGAGAGGAACACGTAGCTTAAATTCCATGTTTTAATTTTCTCGAATATCAAGCAGTAATATTCTTCCTTTCCATATTTCAGCCGTGTAAATGTATTACCATTCCTAGAATGTAACGCAACGTGTTACAGTACCATTATAATCAAAAGAAACGTTTCCCGAATAAACAATTGCATAGTTGATCCATGAAACATTTCTCGTGTTGCTGTTTCATCTTTAACAAATTAAAAACCATCTATTTTTAATGAAATAGTGGAATGTGAAAGAGAAATAATTGTTGCATTTCTTCCGTTTCTCCTGAAAGT